CATCCCTGTTTAATGGTAATCTTCTTCTCATGCTCTTCCTCCCTGCTCTGTTCTTAGTTGCCCTCCTTATATCAAAGAAGACATTTGGCATTTGTTTTTTAGGGATTGGCTAGCTTCACTTAGCATAATCTGCTCTAATGCCATCTAATGCAATCAAGAAGATAAAATTTCAGTTAAATATTAGAAATGTTAATTAGTAGTTTATGGGCATCTTGTGTCTGTGCTAATATTGTACATTCTCTTTATGTTACAAAATTTTAATTTTATATCCCCAGTTTCCTATGCTTCCTAGAATGACATCATGTGACCACCAACCTCGAAGGCATTCTCATGAAGATCAGGAATTCAGAAACTGTGCTCACATGCGATATTATAGGAAATGCTCAGTGGATGGGTCACTCAAGGAGTCACTGGAATCAAAAGGAAGCTCTCATTCCAAAATTCAGGAGTTTTCAGAGTCCTTTGAACAGCAACTGTGCTTTAAAACCAAACACTCTGTCTCTCTGGTATGTAACTGAGCTAGTACACATTTAAGCCCCTTGGGAAAGAAAACCCAGAGGTTTTGTCATCCTCAAGTTTGAGGAACACAAATTTAACTTCTCCATTTACAGCTTGGTAATAAGATCAATGAAAACAACACTGAGTTTATTACAACTAATCTAAAATTAAATATTTTATTTTATGTCAATTTTAAGGAGCATATTATAAAATTTTTGTAATGTAAAATTAAAAATTCAAAACGTAAATTCTTTTAAAAATTTTCCACTGTAACAATCTACACACTTTTCTAAAGCTAGCTACAATAAACAGTGGGGTTTGTCAGCAAATTTTAAAATGTATATAAAGTATTCCCTAAGGTATTATCTCTAGCATCCCACACAAAGGGTACCAAAATTTATGAATGTTAAAGTCCCTTATGCAACATGGAGTATTATTTGCATATAACCTCCATATACTTTACATTCATATATTTTACATTTTCCCATTTACTTTTAAATTATCTCTAATTTTCTTGTAATACTTTATACAATGTAAACAATAGATAAATAGTTATTATAGTATATTGATTAGGGAATAATGACAAGAAAAAGAAGGTGTATATTATATATTCAGTACAGACACCGTTTGTTTCCTGGTTATTTTTCATCCTCAGTTGGTTGAATCCACAGATATTAGCCCCACAGGTAGGGAAGATTGGCTATAGCATTTTTTGTTTGGGGACCAAATGAATACTAATGTGTTGGTTTAAATTTCACATATTTGAACATTGAAAGAGCCAGAAACTGCTTTTGTGGCCTAATCATGACAAACAATATTAATTCTTTCACCTCAGTATTTAGAAATTCAATTGACTTATTTTTCTTATAATTTTCTGATTTTCTAAGTGATGAAATGAGGAAGTAAATTTCAAATCATTATTAATAAGTATATCTTGCATAGTGTTTATTTTTAATAAGGTAAAGACCAAATTTGAAACAATATTCACTATACTGTTTTTTGTACTGTTCTGACCAGCATTAGAAACATTTATAATTGCTAAACATGAATTTTGATCAGATAAATACAAGTGATTGGTTCTATGAAAATCATCTGGCAGCACATGTACAGAACTAGTACAGTTTTTAAAGTTTCTTTTTAACTTCTATCTAAGCGTCTTTGTTTTGCTTTCTTACTTCAATCAATGAATGTTTATGGATGGAATGAGACAATCTAGGTATAAGAAACAGTCTACACCATGGAGTAGCAGACAATATTGTGGTAATAAGACACCTCCACAATGTTCAGCTTGTAGGGCTGAGTTCTGCCACATGACCACAACTCATCACTGGATCCCTAATGTTTACAGTTCAAATAAGGGGAAGGAGAAGGGATGTTATCTGTTTATTTTTTAAAAAATAGAAGCATACATAGATACCATTACCATGTTTATGCATGTTATTTTTGCACAGTAATTCCTTTCAAAGAAACTCCCTGACCATCAACACTGAAGAATCTCCCCTTCTTGGGGCTAGGGTTGTAGCTCAGTGGTAAAGCACATGTCTAGCACTGGGTTCAATCCTCAGCACCACATAAAAATAATGAAGAAAATGTATTGTGTCTATCTACAACTAAAACTTTTTTAAAAAAGAATCTCCCCTTCTTCATAGTTCCCTACTATATATCACCGCCACCTGTTGTAGTTACAATTTTATTTATCATCATTGTTTACTTCCTTTTAGCCTTATTTACTGATGGTCTATCTCCCCCCCCCTCCCCAGGTGGAATATCTAGAAGGTAAAATCTCTTCATTTAGTACTTTATCTCCTAATCTTACAACAACACTGTGTGTTCAATAAATCAGTGAATAAATGTGGACCGCCCGCCCCCGGCCTCCACCTATCCCACTTGGGCAACTTACTGGGGAATGCTAACATGGTTGGAAGTTATTTCTCAACACTTCATTTTTTCACACAGTTCTCACATTAAAATTTAGTGCAAACTCTAATATTAACATAATATAAGGTAATGAACACAGGGAAGTTAGAATCATTCCATATGTGATCTTGTTTTCCTTATCAAAAAACGCCAGGAGACTTAATTTCACTGTACTGTACATTCTTTAGCTTTGGTATGTGAGAGCACAAGAGTCATGGTCATGTGCAGGTTGGCATCCTTCTCAGACCAGCAGTGATGCCCAGGACCCTGTATTCCTTCTCTTTATGACTAAAACCTTTGGCAATATGATGATTTGGGGTTATGCTGATTTATTACTAGAAACTAAGAACTGAACATTGGCTACAGGGCAGGGCTTTCCTCATGTCTGGTGGTTGGGAGCAATGGGAGGCACAGAGCTTCTGGTGCATCTCTCCCCTTTCCTGACCCTTCTCTTTCAGGGACCTGAGAGCAGGAAGGAAAGAAATGAGAGAGAATGTCTGAGGATGGAGGTAAGATCCCGCAAGAAGGTGGAAGAAGGAAGGAGCTCAGCCAAGGAAGAACCCCGAGAGGTATCCATGGCCTCCCTGGTTGAAAAAGGGCCGGAATAGTTCTTTATTTCTATGTCATGATGACAGGCGCCACTGGTTGTTTTGGGCCCAGTTCACCATTCCAGGAGGGCAGAATGGCAGCTGCAAAAGGGCATCCCAGATGCTGAGTGACAGAGGTGGGCGGTTGGAATGAGGCTCCTCAAGACGACTTGCGTCACCCTCCAACTGCTTCTGGCATCTTGCTGGAGTGTAATCTGCTTTCTTGTCTTTTCATGGGAATAAAAGAATAAAAGGTATTTTAATAGAGTAAAGTAATTTCTGAAAATGCAAACGAAGATTTTTAAAGAGCTACCCACACATCTTTACCAACTCTTCTTCCATGACAACCTTGCAATTCATCTTAAATAAAAGTCATTGGTGTGACTCTTTAGATTTACTTCCTTTTAGAAGTAATTATGTAAGTATGTCTAATGGCCATCATTTAACAGAACTGGTAATTACCATGCCAAGTATTATCCTGAATGCTTTAATATATTAGCTATAATAATCCTTTCTACCCTGAAGTAGAACCTTGTGTTATTCAGGGTTCTGCAGAGAGGCAAGACCCAAAGGATATACAGAGTGAACTATATGAGATAGATATATTTGGGGAATTGGYTCACATGATTATAGAGGCTGAGAAATGTCATGATGGACTGTCTGTAAGCCAGAGAACTAAGGAAGTCAGTAGTGTGGCTCAGGCCAAGTCCAAAGGCCTCAGAACCAGAGAAGCTGCTGGTCTAACTTCTTACTCCAAGACCAAAGGCATGAGAACCTGTGGCTGTTGAAGACAGTGCAGGTGTAGGTCTTTGAGTTCAAAGACTGGTGAACATGGAGTTTTGATGTCCAAGGGCTTGAGAAGAGAACTGTCCCAGTGAGACAGGGGGAGGGAGGGAGAAGAGGATATTTGCCTTTTTGTTCATCTGAGCCTCAAACAATTGGATGGTGTCCACTCAGATTGAGTGAGGTAGATCCTCCCCACTTTCAGTGGCTCAAATGCCAATGTCTTTCAGAAACACCTGCATGGATACCCCCAGAAGTAATGCTTTGCTCGGATTTGAGTATTCTTCAATTCAGTCAATTTGACACTAAATATTAACTATCACAAATACATTTTCTCTTTACTTTCTGCTTGAGGAAATTGCAGTATAGAAAAGTTCTGTAGCTTCCAGTTATGTTGGCAAGGTGAGGGCCTGAGTCATTCATTTACTTTGATGGCAGAACTCATGCTCCTCACACAGGACCTCCATTTCTTTTTAGAAGTGGGTCTGACTTAGTGTGTAATGTGCCTGTGAATGATGAGATCTTAGTGGGTAGGTTACAATTTTGAATACATGGGTGAAGACTGAGTACTTGAGGTCAGCTTTATACTCTAGATTTTAACTTTTTAAGACTATATTCTATCACCATTCTCCCACCCCTCACAAAAAATGGACTGGAACTGTAATACTTAGCCTGTTTATTCTTTGTCTCTATCTTGGATGCCCATGTGCAACTAGGTTTTCCATTTTGTGAAGAAGAAAATCTCCCACATATACTACTTAAACTAGTATTGTAATTGACTGCTACTGTAAGATATCTTTATATAGACAATAGAAGGAAGAGAGAAAAGGGAAAGTCTTAAGGGGAAAATAGTGCAATAAAACTAAAATAGCAACTACCTTGATTGGAATAATTTTGATTTCTATATAGCCTATACCTGCATCCTTTCTGGACTGATATGTCCATGTGACCTTCTTAACACAGTATTATGCTTTTTCATACATATAATGAAAGATGAGTGAAGGCTATAATATAGTGACTTTTGCCTATCCATTGCCACTACTGACTGGGAGGATAGGAGGGGTCCTCTCTGTGCATAAGTCATGCATAGGAGAGTAGTTTCCCTGGCTTTGAGTACTTTGAAGTCTTATCAAACAAGTTTCAATTCTGGGGACAGTTTGCTCATCTACTTTTGTTTCTGAAGAGATGTGGGAAGAGATGACCCACACATTGGGAAAGTTAGAAGCCTAGATGAATCATTTTGGCCCAGTAGATGGCTGAACTGAGTCAGTAGCTGCCTCCTACTCCAGCCTGGATATCTGGATGCCTGGATTCTTCCCATTTGTAGACTCATGAAAAAATCATGATTAGGAATTTTACAAATGTTTCATCAAACTGGAATGAAGTCATTTTCAACACATGTTCGAGACCATAGTATGTGGAAGTGATGGACTCCCTGAAAAAGAAATTTCTAGTTTTTTTTTCATTTTTGTATCATAAAACACAGCCTCTTGCAATAAAAAATACAGAGTAATAAAAATAATAAGAAACAAAAAGAATTTCTGTTAGTCTACCTACTCAGAGATAAATGTGGTTAATATATTAGTGTATGTTCTTCCGGAATGTTATCTATGTGTTCATATGTACATACTTCTACATAAAACACTTTTTTCAATCATGTCTCTTTTTTAAAAAATCATGTCTCTTTTTAGTTAATACACGATTAACATCTTTTCAGATCAATGAAATTGTTTATTGAAGAATTTCTATGGCTCCTTTTCAATAGCTTCTGACATCATAAAAACCTTTCCTCATACCAGTAGATATTATCCTTTTCATGCTAGACACCACCTTAGCTATCTTCCCTCAAAAAAAAAAAAAAAAAACCAACACAAAAAAGCAAAACAAAAACAAAACAAAAAACAACTTCTTGAGGATTTATCTTCATTAACCCATCTTTTCTTTTTTCTTTGTTTTTTTTTTTTTCCATTTTGGTGCTGGGAATTGAAAAATTCTATCTCCGCAGACATTCTATCACTGAAGTACAACCTAGCGCATCCTGTCAATTTTAAGTCTGCTGCAATACGATTTCTGTCCTTACCCTCTGTAGAGATTGTTCTTTTCAAAGCCAGTCATGACCTCCTTACTGTCAAATTTTATGAAAACATCACTATTTTTTTTTTGCTTGATTTTCTGGAAGCATTAGACTTAGTTGACCTCTTCTTGAAGTTCTTTCTTTGGTTGTTGACAATTATATTCTTCTAGGTTTCCTTGTGCCTCTTTGTTCCCTCTTGGTCTTTGGTTAGGATCCTTATACCTTAAGTAGTAATTTTCTTCTGGTCTCTGCCTCAGCACTTGTCTTACTCTCTTCATTTTCTCTCATCAATCTCAAAATTTCCCGTGGGGTAAGCTACATATGAATTGATGACTCCCATCTACCCCTCTGATGTAGAATCTCTCATGAGCATGAGGCTCATAAATTAACTGTCCCTTGAACATGGAATTTCAAACTCATCTTTTAAAAGCAAGCTTTTATTCCTTGCTGTATTGGTCAGATTTCTATCACTGTGACAAAATGTCTGCAACAGAGGGAGGAAACTATTATTTTAAACTCACCATTTCAGAGGTTTCAGGCCATGGTTGCTTGGCCCTGTCACTTTGGGCCTGTGGGAGGTAGGACATTATAGTGGGGAGCATATGGCAGAATAAACTTCTCACTCTATGGCGGCTGCGAAGTAGAGAGAAAGGAGCAGAGTGGGTGGGTGGGGTGTCCTAATATACCCTCATGCACATGTTTCCAGTGACCTACTAACTCCAACTGACCCCACTTCTTAAAGTTTCTACCACCTCCAATAGTGCCTCCAGCTATGGATCAAGCCTTCAATTCATGAGTCCAGATTCAAAGTCTCACACTTGCCTCGGGCCTGTTCTCTATCTATGTTCCCTATTTTCATGAATGCATCACTTAATGATATCTCAAATATGCACCTATTTGGGTTTAAAATCACTCTCACTCCTCTGATTTTACATCCAATTAATCATCACTCCTGCCTACTTTGCATCTAAATGTCACTCAGATTTACCCAGTTCCATCCATTCTCATAGCTACTAGGTGATTTTAGGTCCTTGACATCTCACTTTGGTTTTGATAAAATAAACAATATTTTTATATAACTCAAATATATTATTAAAATTAATTTCATCTTTTTTCTTTGATGAAGGAGACCATTATAAAATTATTAATTGCATATGTATCTCATTTCAACCAGGCAGCAGTAATCTATATGCTAGGTAACTCTTAAGCCTCTTTTTTTAGGTCTCTTGAATTTTACTTTTTAAGTTTTATTTACCTTAAAATGTATTGTAATTTAATTAATTCAAGGTGTTATTTGGGGTTAATTGGCCTACTTCTAGTTACAAATTTTAAGTAAAGTTTATTATATCTGAATTTGTCCTTCTCTTGCCCTCCCTTCCACCCTTCTCCAAATAAAAATGTTCTTGGTTGGTAGAGTGCTTGCCTAGCATGCACAAGGCTTGCACAGTCCCCAGCACCACACACACACACACACACACACACACACACACACACAAATGTTCACATGTTCATGTTCTCTCCTGTGATGCAGTTTAACTCATGCAGGTTTCATCATATAGTGCAACAGTTTCCTAACATGTCTGTCTTCCCATCTAGGCTGTGAATTCTTAAGTGGCAGAGACTAAATATTAATTATGTTTGTGTTCCCTCAACTCAAAAGGTGTTATTGCATAGTACTAGCTCAATAATTTGAGGGTCTGACTGTAAAGAACTAGAGCCCTAAAATTTGAATTCATTTTATTTTAGGCAAGACACTGTCATATATTACTTAGGATCTAGTTAATATTTTTTCTTAAAATGCAAACCATTTTTATTTATAAAAGAAGTATTCAATCCATATTCAAATAATGCAGAAGCATGCAAAAATAAAAAATGACAGTCCCCCAGAAAAGTCAAGCGTGGGAATTATGAACTTCATTCAGTTCAACATTACTGTCACAGCAGTCTGGTTACCCTAGATGGCAGTCTTGAGCTGTTGTTTGGACAGGTAATGCAGGTCTAACCTCAGTGCTTGCCAAAGACAAAATCATTATCATTGTTTTCAAATTGAAAGTAGCAATTCATATCAAAATCCTTAGAGGTAGATTAAGCAAATGAAAGTTTGATAATTTTTACGACTTATCAATGCATATAAAGGTATGCATGAAGGAAAATACTGCGCAGATAGTTGACATTTTATGAATATGGGTAATTTTAGACTGGCAAAAGAAGGACTGTAAGTTCCAAGTTTGTGTTTTGGGTTTTTTTTTCCTTTTTACTCAGACGGGTTATGTGCTGACATCATAACAGTTTAGAGGGAGGCACATATCACACAATGGTGTGAACACCCAATCATCATGCTAATGACCAAAAAGGATCTGTCTTTGGACTTTTCTAGATCCTCTTCTAACTTTGG